AATCACGATCCGGGGACTGGCGCTATCGTCACAGTTGATATAAATTGTTTCCAAGTAAATATGCCTGGGAGAGTTGTTTTAAGACAGCATAATGCACTTTTGTGTGTGTGGTTACTTCTATTGAATCGAAACATCCCCTGTTTCCCCCTCCCAAAAAGAACTAAAGAGTGTTGACAGGGAGAAAGTTGATCTTCTAGATTTTAGTAGCCAAATAAAGATAGCAGAATATTTTGGGACACACAATCTCACAGTAAGTATTTTGTGTTGATCTCGTCGAACTATGTGACAATGTTCATCAGAATATTTATTTTCTTTAAAGCTACATCTTTAATGCTGACACGTGTAGACTTTTTTATGGGATGCCCGACAGGATCCTTCCCATAAATTATGACAAATGCAACAGTTGTAAACTTTCCAAAGCGTTAAAGTGTTGCTTTGCGCCAGCTGAACTAGAGAGAAACAAAGCGTTATAGTGTTACTTTGCGCCAGCTGAACTAGAGAGAAACAAAGCGTTATAGTGTTACTTTGCGCCAGCTGAACTAGAGAGAAACAAAGCGTTATAGTGTTACTTTGCGCCAGCTGAACTAGAGAGAAACAAAGCGTTATAGTGTTACTTTGCGCCAGCTGAACTAGAGAGAAACAAAGCGTTATAGTGTTACTTTGCGCCAGCTGAACTAGAGAGAAACAAAGCGTTATAGTGTTACTTTGCGCCAGCTGAACTAGAGAGAAACAAAGCGTTATAGTGTTACTTTGCGCCAGCTGAACTAGAGAGAAACAAAGCGTTATAGTGTTACTTTGCGCCAGCTGAACTAGAGAGAAACAAAGCGTTATAGTGTTACTTTGCGCCAGCTGAACTAGAGAGAAACAAAGCGTTATAGTGTTACTTTGCGCCAGCTGAACTAGAGAGAAACAAAGCGTTATAGTGTTACTTTGCGCCAGCTGAACTAGAGAGAAACAAAGCGTTATAGTGTTACTTTGCGCCAGCTGAACTAGAGAGAAACAAAGCGTTATAGTGTTACTTTGCGCCACCTGAACTAGAGAGAAACAAAGCGTTATAGTGTTACTTTGCGCCAGCTGAACTAGAGAGAAACTAGAGCCATTATTGGCTGGTAAATCAGCAAAACCGCCCGTATTCAAGAACCTGGAACCAGAAGGCATCCCTGTTAAAGCAGATCAACCAATCCGAATGGCTGACTGGATGTCTGTTTGAGTGGGTAAGGGGCGTTGACCGATATATGAAAAAGAAGAAATAATCAATTCCACTGATAGCTACACCTGTACACAACTGTCCTGGCAATTCACCAGTGAGTCATCTAACCAACTATTTATGTCCGAACAACAAACGACAGCCAAACCCCGCCTCTGGACCAGTGCATCAGCAAAACAGTTAGCATGCCCTACGGGACACAGCTCATGTAGAAATTCATCATTGAAATATTGATCTTTGGTCCGTATGTGGGAGTAACTTGACAAGCTAAATCAGTTAGTGCTCTGGACAAGTCTGCTTGGAAAAATGTTCAGGGAAAAAAAACAAAAGGAAAAAAAACAAAACAAAACTGGGCGGGGCTGGGGTCATAATTTTCTAGAGGACTGAGGCCTTGTTTATAAGCACACCTAATTGTTATAGTGTCTGATTAACAAAAACTAATCAACATATTTAAAATAATATTCAATGCATGACATATTGCTTCAAAAGAGGACGTCTGTTGTTCATTTCATGATCATCCTCATTATCCGTCAAGCATACTCATAAGTGAGAATTGACAGCAACGAAAATAAACACAGCTGCTGTCCGCCATTTTGAATCGCATGGATCCGGCTTTGATTTTTTTAATCATATTCATAGAATCATTCAGAAAACATGCGTTTGTGAATTCCTGTGTCTGTAGCCATTCTAAGGTCTTCGTCACAGCTAAGGCTTTCATTGTCAAGCTGGTGGTGGTGACAGCAAAGACTCCGCTGGCTTTTAAAATAATTGTTCGTATTTTTCTAGCCGTAAACGGCCAAGCACTGCGTTTGTGACGAATTACAGAATCGTCTGTGTATATAACAGCATTATCTTCCAATGTGTTGTCAGATATCAGTGCTGTGACCTCTGAATCAACTATTGTACGAGGTAAGTCACGACATTTTCTGTCTAAAGCAATTATCACCTGAATTAATTGCTGATATTAAATAGGTATCCATTCCTCTCCTGGTTGAATGTCTTTGATATATTTTATACCGCTTTTATGTCTTCCTCTGCTCAGTCCAAACATGATTGGCCTCGTTAATCCCCCCCCCCTTCCCCAGTTTCGTGTGTAAAGGATGCTTACGATCTTCTGTAATTGTTTTTTTTTAAATATGCTTGTGCTCTTCGTAAACTAAGCCTCCTGATAATGATTAAGAAATCAAGCAAGAATCTAAAGGCTTTTCATGCTGTGCCATCGGTGCAGCCAAATGTAATGCTCACTGCTCCATTTTGAATTCTTTTCAAACATTTTTGTTTGTGTGAGGATTGCTATCGCATATTTCATAACAGAGAGTATTAATCCGTGATAGACGATGATGAGGAGACGCTGCCGACAACATGTGGCGGCCATGATCCGTAATGCCGTTAAGCCCTATCTAACTTTGATGACGTTATCAACATGTGACTCAAACATCGATCAAACTGTATTCCTAAGTATTTCACAAGATCGGTCCTAGTAATCTCATCACCATCCCTATATATCGCAAGAGCTTGTTTATATATTGTGTAATTATTTAATGAGAACCAATCCGAAGTCGCCTTTGTTGTATTAATCTGTGCTCCAGCAATTTCACACCAATTTTATATACATCGTAATTCATTTAGGAGATCATCTATTATTTTGTTTCTGTTGATACCCTGGCGATATACCAGTATGTCATCAGCATATGTTAGAGTTCTTTCTATTCCTGTCTTTTGATTACATGTCACATTGATAGTGTAAATAATGAAGAGCTCCGAAAATAGTGGTGATCCCTATTGTATACCTTGTTGAATAGTCTTCAGCTCAGAGATCCAGGTGCCGATTTGAAGGCCACTTGTCTTTGTAACAGTGATGACGCTATCCAGTTAATAAGTGTTGGATAAATGAGTTGGTGCATGAAATGTTTGAAGGGGACCTTGTTGTATGCATCTTCTAAATCTAATTCTACGACACACATCTCTAATCTTGCATGGAAACTTTTCTACACCTCACTTGCGAAGATAGCAGCATTATTCCACGTGTCGCTATTTTGCCTGTGTCCACCAAGAGTAGGTGGGAAGTCTATACACGGTGGAAAGCCGAGATGAGGATAGGAATGGGCTTCTGATGTCCAGACATTTTCGAAAGGGAACTCAAGGTTCCTTAGCGCCAGATTTTGGCGCCTAGGCTACAACTGATACTCAGCGTTTCAAGAAAGCTGTGTGTGTTATATCTAAGAGGGTGACGTTTTAGCTCAATCCCCATCGGATACTCTAATACCAGTGATAGAATTTGAAGGAATAAATTGTCTAGTTTTGTGTGTGAACTGGACGATAAGATGGCAACATATAATGAATCAGACCTAGGATGAATTTTGCACACAGTATTGACTGACTTACGGTTAGCTGTGTGCTAAAAGACCATATAGAAGTGCTAAAATCATCTGGTGACGTTAAGGAAAGCAAGTGACAATTTCAGACTCCAAAGAAAAAGAAGGATGTCAGGCATCGGATAATGCAGTTAAAGCAATTTGCTGTGGGGAAATGCCCATGTATTCCAATGGGTGTACACAGCGTTAGGAAAGCTTCCTCCACTGATGGTTGTTAGAAAAAAAAAAACATTGACCAAGGCTGGCTTCTTTTTATTTCATAAAGAATGATTACCAAATGATAAAAAAGGTTATGTTGATTCGATTTATGATGTAATTATGTATGATGTTATATAGCACTGTATACCACAATAACAATTATCGAAGGAGGTACAGTATCAGTACAAAATACAGTATCAGTACAATATACAGTATCAGTACAATATACAGTATCAGTACAATATACAGTATCAGTACAATATACAGTATCAGTACAATATACAGTATCAGTACAATATACAGTATTAGCGCAAAACTGGTCTTTCCGTATGTTTACTTCATTCGTAAGTTGACTGGTTTGCTACAGCTCTTTTATCAAACCTAACAGGCGCGGAAAACATAATTCTCTAAAAAAATTTTTTATAGGAACAAGTAAACATTTTTTTTACATATGACACAACACAGCAATCTGCACACTAGAGATTTTATTTGATTTGATTCAAGAGCCGACACATCACAGCACTCGGGGCATTCCCATAAGCGCTCTGTCCCCATCTTCAACAGCCAGCGAAGAGTTCCGATAGTAATTGTGCCAGTAGCCTTCTGATTAAACGTCTTTCCTCTAAGCCTCGAGCGTCTGTCAGAACCTCTCATCACTTCCCGCTGCATCAATCTCACCAGACTGTGGTGATCCATCTGCTCCTCCGAACTGTACACGCTCTCCCACAAGGCACTAACCTTGTCTGCCTTATCATGTATCAGTATTCCACCCAGTTGTGCAGAACCAGCCAGTCTGTCTGCCTGTTCATTTCCCAACTACACCGGCGGACCCGGTGAAACAACTCCAGACAAAACTCCTCACCCGTGTCCTCCGCAGCGAAGCATGCCACTCTACACGAAGCATATCTGTTCTGAACTTCCTCTGCATGCTTTCTGAAGCAGTTACAATCACGATGTGTGTGTGTGTGTGTGTGTGTGTGTGTGTGTGTGTGTGTGCCGTGTTCTCCAGCCAGCGGAAAGCTGCAGTGACTGCCTCCACCTCCATTCTGAAGCTGGATGTTGTGGTATCATGTGCTGGGCTCTCCTGCACCAAACTTCGACCATTCACTTTTGCTAAGAAGCCCTAAGCACTTCTTTTGGACTTTTGCCTCTTGACACTGAACCGTCTGTTCTGCACACGAGAGAAAAACGAATAAAACGTAAATAAAATAAACGCTTACCATGAAACCTGAACGCTGTCACAAAGACACAGAGGTGGCGAAATAAACAGTACAGTTGTCTTTCCATCAGTTCACCCTTTAGTAAGTTTATTTATTAGACAGAAGATACTTCCCATGACAATTCAAAATTTGGAGAATGATAGCTGTAAACTCTTGGACAGTCTAACATAGTGCACACGAGCGGCTCCCATTCAACGGGTTTTCCCGTTTTGATTTGACTTTTTAAAAAATGCTCTTCGTAATTCCGGGGAGCTGGGTTAGACCCCAGCAGCAGGCAATATTTTCGCCATGCGTTGGTTTCGACATTTGTTGCGAGAGCCGACCGTGTAGAAAGCAATGGCAAAGTACTGAACGGGCCATAAAAAAAAACACAACAGCCCAAAAAAATGGAAAGGGAGGGCTAGAGGGGGGGGGGGGGGGGGGGGGGGGGGGGGGGTTTATTATGCAAAGTCCTGTAACTTCTGACTTTTTTACTTGTTCCCAGCGGGCCTTGACCACATCTGCCTTGTCATGTAAGTTTACCACCAAGTGATGCAGATCTTGCCATTCTATCTGCCTTGTTTAATTGTAAACATGTCCTCAAAGTGCAACAGTTAGTACTGAACTTTAGCCATCATCAGACCCCATGGTGTATCTTAACTGCACATAACATTTATTTACGATTGACAATTTTGGATAAGGAGATGTATTTGTTGCAATTGGAGATGTACCTGACGGGTTGATGATATTCAACCACTCAACAAAACCCCCCCCCCCCCCTCCCCCCCCCCCCCCAAAATGGTTTTAATTTAACGATCCTAAATTTGTATTAATCTAGATGCCAGTAATCATCTTGCTCTTTGATTTCATGTTTAAAACACTTTTCTTTTTCCAGAAATGAATGTCTATTGTTGAGAGGGACTTTCGTGTCAGAACTTCAACATCACACTTTTTTAAAGTACTGTCTTTTTTCGGCAACTTGTCTTTTGACTTTAGGAATAAACTCACAGGGAGCAAGTACAGCAGGGATCTACCAGTCGTCAGTAGAAATTATCCTCGTCGACACGCGTTTCGGCCCACGATTCCTAGACGCATTCGGAGGTGGGCCCACCGGAGTTCTTGAAGCTCAGGGTTGGTTCCCTGCTGCACGAAATTACCGGATGGTGTTTTACTTTCGGCCAGAGACAAGACGACTTGGTGGTTTGCAGAAGGTACTGTGAGATAAGAAATCGCCGCGGCAGCCTAATAAGAACAGTCAGCGTGCCTGGACGACCGAGCGACAAGCTTATGATTGGTTTACCGGACACATGTTGGACTTTGTTAGCAGGTGGCAGAGGAACACTGGCAGACAATTCGGACACGATGGACTTTCAAGGGGTGAGAAACCCTTTTCCACTAGACACCCGGACCAGCTCACCGAGGCCCGTCCCCTACGTTGTTGCGTTGCGTCCAAAGCCAGCTAGAGGCCCTTTCGGCTACCTCTCCCAGTTTTATGAGTGTTCGTTTCCGTTCATTACCGCGCAATCCTAGTTCTTTAACCACAAGCTCTATCTGGTTGAGGTGTGAATGATATGCACGGAGTCGCAGAAAAGAATGGCTTATTTTTTTTATTGATTTTTGTCAGTGTTATATACCTTTGTCTTATTTGTTTTGCTCACAAGCTGCAAAATTTCTGCCTTCAAATATGTGTTGTCAAAGTTGACCTTTTCCTTGACACGCCATGTCCTAATTTGTTCTTTTGTATTTGATGT